ATTCTAATTATTTTGAGTATGATCCCCAATAATTATTCCTAATGAGTTTAAGTAAAACAAGCATTTGATAGTATTGCGGGCAATACAGTAGTCCCCTACCGGTCCCTCAAAAAGTTCTTTAATTGTCATACACTCCTGTGTATTGCCATTTATAATGAATTTGAGGATGAAGTCTGTATTTGAAAATATCGACCACAAAACATAATAAAATAAGTTTGTCTATATCACAGTAATGTGTTAAGTTTCCATGCTTAGTAAGGAAATTATGTTTATACAACCTTGTCATATTATTACGATGTGGGATTTTAAAGTAAATCCTATAAGGAATGAAGAAGTTGGAGTGAAAATACCAGTTTCTTGAAAAAAATCTAAGTTCAAGGGGGACATAATTCTGGAAATAGTCTTGCTAGAGTATTTAACCTTCTCAAAAATGTCAAGTGATAAGAAACATATATATGAAGTTTGAAGTAGATACATTAGGAAATAAAGAAGTTATTTAAAAAAGACAACATTTTTTCCCTAAAAAATATAAGTTCAAGGGAGGTAATACTGATAATTTTTTTGCTAGAGTTATAAACCTTGTCACATATGATGTGGTTGATGACCAGAAACTTATATTTAAAGTTTGAAGTAAACACCTTAAGAAATAAAGAACATATAGTGAAAAAGCTGACATATTTAAATCAGAAATCTTGAAATTCAGGCTATTTGTTGCCATAGCAACAATAATTTTCAACATAGGAAGAAAAGAAAAAAATGTGCATAATCTCCAGACTGCCATCTACCCATATTTCAAGTTTCATAAAAATATTTTCAGTACTTTTTGAGTTATCACTGGATCCAGTTTATGTGTTAAATTTGCCATATTTTCAGACTATTTGTTGCCATAGCAACCAGAATTTTCAACATAGGAAGAAAAAAAAAGACGTGCATAATCTCCATACTGCCATCTATCCATATATCAAGTTTCATAAAAATATTTTCAGTACTTTTAGCGTTATCGCGGGATCCAGTTTTGTGGACGGACGGACTGACGGACTGACAGACAGACAGACAGACAGACATACAGACGGACAGACAGACAGACGGACAGACGGACGGAGGGTAAACCTAAAGTCCCCTCCGGTTAAACCGGTAGGGGACTAACTAGAAGGGTTTCTGTCACAAAAACATATGCCAACCAAAACTATGTATGGTCACTCATGTGAAGTTTCATTGAAATCCCACTAGTATCTTGACCAGTGAAAGCCGGACAAGGTTTTTCTAGTTATAACTGTGATGGCCATTTTGTGCAGCGAAGCGTAACCTGATGGTGATGTGCACAACTTAGGATAGTACTGATAACACAAGTAATTTGACAGGTGAAGGCCGGACAAGATTTTTCTTTTTTTAGCTCTGGCGCCCATTTTGTGCAGCAAAGCGAATGTACGATAACAAGGGATGGTACTGATCACTCCTGTAAAGTTTGGTTGAAATCCCACAAGTAGTCTGACCTGTGAAGGGCGGACAAGCCTAATTTGGACGGACAGACACACGGCGAAGGCAAAAAAAATATGTCTTCCAAAAATTTTGGGAGACATAATTAATTTAAGTATGACAAATAAATCATATTGTTTGTTTATAAGCATAAAAGGAAAATTATTACACATTTAAGGAGAATTATTACAGAAAAGTTTATATAACATATTCCTTTTCGTGGTAAAACGTAGTTTAAATATAAAAATCGATTGAAAGTTTAAATATATTTTATATAATGTTAACTAATTTTATATCGTCCACTCAAAGATTGTTCTTACTGAGTTCGATTAGATTCTACCAACTAGATTTGAGCGCAGATTAAGGTGTAAAACTTTAAGTCAGTTTTCTTGTTGCATGGTAAAAACAACTAGCTATGAATAAAGAAGCAAATAGAGTGATGATTTTTTTAGTTTGGTTACAAGTGTAAACAAGGCTGTTTGAAAATCTTAAAATAGAATGACCATACAGCTCCCATGACACCTGAACATGCGTTTTAGTCTTTTCTTCAAAACAGTGTACTTTGTCTTAACAACTTCATTGCATATCATTATTATATGTTTCAGGGGGAAAACATCATATAAGTAACTACAAAATTCAAATGGTCATTATAGCAGCAATATTCTCCTCATTATTTACATGAATTAACTTTCATGGTAAAATCTATACAGTAAATGAAATAGACAAATGCAAATCCTAAAGTAAATCATGTACACAAATATAGAAATCTTATTCATGTAGTAAAACTTATAGAAAACACACATATAACTATTATAGATAGTCACGTAAACAAATACAAAACTGAGAGTTAATCATGTACATAATATAAAAGTTTTATAGTAAAAAATGTTTGTTTGCTTGTTTGGGTTTTACGGCACACCAACTCAGTAAATGTCCAGTCTTACTGGTAGAGCATAAACATCAGGTGCCCCCTTCTATTAATTGAATCAGGCATAAACAGGCACCTGAGTAAGCTAGCTTGATACCTTTCTCATATAATGTAGAAAAAACTTATCTAATTGTAAGCTATGTACACAAATACGAATCATATAGAAGATCAGAAATTCGAGCACAAAAACAAATCTTCTATAACTCATGTACTCAATAATCTTAAAAATTATGTACATTAATACAAATTTAACATTTATTTATGTACACAAATACAAATCTTAAATAAAATCAAGCAAACAAATACACATCTTCTTTAACTCGTGTACACAAATACAAATCTTATACAATGTGATAAATAATATGTACACAAATACAAATCTTGTTGAAAATTATGTACATAAATACAAATCTTACATTTATCTATGTACATGATGTACACAAATACAAATCTTAAAGAAAATCAAGCAAAGAAATACACATCTTCTATGACTCATGTACACAATACAAATCTTATACAATGTGATAAATAATATGTACACAAATACAAATCTTGTTGAAAGTTATGTACACAAATAATAATCTTACATTTATCTATGTACACAAATACAAATATTGCATTAAACTATGCCAACAAATATAAGTCTTGTAATAAATCATGTACCAAAATGCAAATCTTCTAAAACATAAATTTCTTTTTTTTTCTTAGTTCAAAAATGATAACTTATCGCATCAAATTAAAAAAATTAACTTGACTTGTATTTGCTTGTTAAATACGGGCTGCACATGCGATTTCAACATTATAAATACAAACTTGACCTGCATTTCCTGTGATTATCTGTAAGTCAAATTTGAGTCGAATGTGACCAACTGTTTGGGAGAATTAATGAACGGAAATTAACAACTTCTTCCTTTTTCTTCAAAAGTTCAAGGGGCATAACTCTGTCAAAAACTATCGAACCATGACCAAATACGAAATTGACCTGAGTATACCTATGACATATCAATATGTTAAATTTAGGTTCAATGTGTACAAATTGGTAGATAATAAACAAAAACCGAAAATATGTTATTTTTTTCACAGTTTAAGGGGCATATCTTTTCCAAAAATCAACAAGGCATGACCAAATTCAAACTTCACCTGAGCATTCTCTTAACGTAACCGTATGGAAAATTTCATTTGAATTTGTAAAAATGTTGGGAAGATAATGAAGGGCAACTAAAATATCTTATTTTTACAAAGTTCAAGACAGATAACTCTGTCAAAAATCATCAAACCATGACCTATTTCGAACTTTACCTGGGTATTTCTATGACATATGGCAAATTTGAGTTAAGTGTGAACAACAATTTGAGAGATAATAAACAGGATAACACTATATGCCCAGCCATTTTGTGGCGGGGCATAAAAATCTATTTACAGCAACTCATAAACAAGAGCCACTTCCGGGCAGGGACAACGCTCGCCCTTTTTACTGTTTCTAAAAGCAAACAAATAAACGGCTTAAACTAATCTCGAGTCTTCAAGAAAAAAGTTTAGTTTTCCTTTTTATATTTTTATAGGTCTGTCTAGTCATGCTAAGTATGAATCCTTTCCAATAAAAATGACAATGTTAAGAATATATAACATTATAACCTAACATAACCTTAATGTCAAGGTCATATGTAAATCAATCAACTTAATAATCTAATAATATGTGGATTAATTACAAAAAAACAGGTAATTATAGCTATAATCAGTTAGCCTTAAAGGTCAATGTCATTAAAGACCCAAGGTCAATTTGAGTTTGATATACATGAAGGCCTTATCCTAAAAAAATGTTCTGTTATAATATGAAGTCATTCCATCCAATAGTAACAAAGTTGCAGCCAGTTACAGCAAAAAATAATTAATTTGACCTTCAAAGTCAAGGTCATTCATGAGTGATGGTCAGAGTATGTCTTGTTAACTTAAAGGGCTATCTTAAAAGATTATTATGTTCAAGTTTGAAGTTATAGCCACTATATATATCTAGCTAGCTTATAGCAAGATACAAGCAAAATTTTAACATTTGACCTTGAAGGTCAAGGTCATATATGAACGAAGGTCAAAGTCAGTCTAGTCTACTAAAAGGTCTTGTATCAAGGGTTGTTGTGGCAAAGTATGAAGACAATAAACTAAGAACTTAACAAGTTCTGTTCAAGGTACAAGTTTGAAGAAGGCAACGCCAACATGTTTGTAACAGTACCTCTCTTTTCTAAAAAAAAAGTTGAGTTAAAACATATTAGAAAACAATACTTTTGTAACTTTGAAAAGAAACATAACTTGATAAGCTGTTGTGTAATACTACTCACAAATCTATATTAAAATCTTCAACATATGAATGAAAATAAATCTTAATTCACTTTTTCTAAACAATTTGATATACATAAATTATATATAAGTTATTTGTAATCATAACACTGATTTTTCCCCATTAACAAGTAATAATCCTACCACTTTTCCATACTAAAGAAAACTTTATAGCTGGTAAAATAGCAAAACATTACAATCAATGGTGCTCAATCACAAAAGATAAATTAAGCATTAGCTATTATTTCAAAAATACATGTAACACAAAAATATAATTTATCACATTAAGTGGACATTCATGTACATTTTTTTCAGTGACAGTGACATAATATTTTTCATTGTCAATTTGAGCTGAAATGACTGTATATTTTTTAAAAATAAAACGTACTCATTAACTCACTACATACACTTGGTCAAGGGCAAAATGTTTTTTTTTTAACAATCTAACTTAAAAATAGTTTTTGTACAAATATTGGCTAGCAGTTATATTTTACATAAATGTATATTTACATATTATACATGATTATAAAATTTGCACATTATGACTATACAGTAAAAATTCTATACAAATAAATATGTATACATTCATTAAATAAATTTTCCCGAGAGTTAATATAACGCAAAATTGCACGAGTAGGTTATTTTCATGCTTGGAATTGTCTGAGTTGTATATCCATGTTTTAAACAATACAATGACTGCAACTTTCTGGTAATAACTAAGTGTCAGGTACTCATTTAGTTTAACTATTAACTAATCATCTCATAAATAGCTGGAGTCCTAAGTTTGGAAGAGTAATGTTAATATCAACTGTTATATATTTTATAAATACCAGTATATTCAAACAGTTGCTGGACGTCATTACACTAGGTGACTTAAGTATTTGTATACATGCAAAATTTCTCCATACATGTACTGTTCATGATTCCGATGTGACACATTATGTTAGTTTAGGACCCATTTTGTAGTCTATGATTTTGTTCATATCACAATTACAGAAAATTTCACATGAATGTCAGTTCTTTGATTAATTGAAGTCTCTTGTGAATCTGTCCATTTCTTGGGAGAAGGAATACACATAATGCTGAAAATACAAAACAAATCAAAGTTTTAAAATAACAATCTTACAATAACCAATGCCAGAAGCATTTTGAATTGACATACTTATTATCAGGTCTCTCACATATATTTAGAAAGTTGTAAGACATTATAATGCTCTAAAACATGTTTATATTCTGTGAATTTGGTAAAGATTTCGTAGCTTATTTTTGTGCAAATGTTAACTGTAATGTCACATTGAAAGAACAGAGTTTATTTTTTTTTCAATTCCATGTACACATGTTTATAAAATAAGAATCCCTAAAGAAAGCTCAAAATGGCATAATGAAAAATGTTACAGGCTCAGTTTGATTGAGCCTGTTCATCGACGGTACTGTTAAGTGCAAACTACTGTCCACGCCCCCTAGTAGCAGCTTAAGCAGAATTCAACATTTAACATGAACTGGTACAATTTTGAATTTGTGATATCACATTTTTCATCATTCAGAGAACAGCAAATTCTAGGGAGAATTGTGACAGGTTTTGAAAAGTCAAATTTTATATTAGCCATATTATATGAAAAACAAGAGCCACCGCCGGGCGGGGGCAACGCTCGACTTTTTACTTTCTCTAAAAGCAAACAAAGAAATGTTTGAACAAAATCTCAACGTTTATAAAATTAATCATTCAGTCTTGTCAAATTAGGTTTGTCTATATATTTTTTATATATCAGCATACTAATTTATATATATATAAATAGAAACACACAATTCTATAAATAGAAAATTCTATAAATAGATACACGTGATGGAGTCACTTGGTGAAGTCACGTGTCGGACTCACGTGGTGAAGTCACGTGATGGAGTCACGTGGTGGAGTCACGTGGTGGAGTTTAGTGGTGAAGTCACGTGGTGAAGTCATGTGGTGGAGTCACATGGTGGAGTCACGTGGTAGAGTCACCTGGTGGTGTCACGTGGTAGAGTCACGTGGTGGAGTCACGTGTTAAAGTCACGTGGAGGAGTCACGTGGTGGAGTCACCTGGTGGTGTCACGTGGTGGAGTCACGTCGTTAAAATCACAGGGTAAAGTCACGTGCTGGTCTCACGTAGTAGAGTCACGTGGTAGAGTCACATGGTAAAATCACGTGGTGGAGCCATGTGGTGAAGTCACGTGGCGTATCACGTGGTAAAGTCACGTGGTGGTGTCACGTGGTGGAGTCACGTGGTAAAGTCAAGTGTTGGAGTCACTTGGTAAAATCACGTGGTGAAGTCACGTGGTGTATCACGTGGTAAAGTCATGTGGTAGAGTCACGATTTTAAGTCATGTGGTGCAGTCACATGGTGCAGTCACATAGTAAAGTCATGTGGTGGAGTCACGTGGTGTCATGTGGTAGAGTCATGTGGTGGAGTCACATTGTAAAGTCACGTGGTAGAGTCACATGGTAAAATCACGTGGTAAAGTCACATGGTTGAGTCTCGTGGTAAAATCACGTGGTGGAGTCACGTAGTAAAGTCACATGGTGGAGTCACGTGGTAAAATCACGTGGTGGAGTCATGTGGTGAAGTCATGTGGTGTATCACGTGGTAAAGTCACGTTGTGGAGTCACGTGGTTGAGTCATGTGGTGCAGTCATGTGGTGAGGTCACGTGGTGAAGTCACGTGGTAAAGTCACGTGGTGGAGTCACGTGGTGAAGTCAAGTGGTGGTGTCACGTGGTAGAGTAACGTGGTGGAGTCACGTAGTAAAGTCACATGGTGGAGTCACGTGGTAAAATCACGTGGTGGAGTCATGTGGTGAAGTCACGTGGTGTATCACGTGCTTGATTCACGTGGTGGAGTCATGTGGTGGAGTCATGTGGTGAAGTAACGTGGTAAGTCATGTGGTGCAGTCACGTGGTAAAGTCACATGGTGATGTCACAACAAGGTCTTGTCCTTAAGTATGTTCTGTTATAATATGAAGTTGATCCCTTCAATAATAGCAAAGTTACAGCCAGTTTCAGCCAAAACAATGAAAATTTCAATAAATTTTACTTCAAAGTCAAGGTCATTAATGAGTGAAAGTCAAGGTCTATCTGGTTATTTTTAAGGTATATCCTTGAAGATTATTATGTTCAAGTTTGAAGACAATCCATTCAAAAATAACAAAGTTACAGCCAATAACAGCATGAACAAGCAAAATTTGGACTTTTAACCTTGAAGGTCAAGGTCATTTATGGATGAAGGTCAAGGTTAGTGTGATCTACTGAAAGGTCTTGTCCCAAGGGTTGCTGTGGCCAAGTATGAAGACAATACAAATAAAAAGGGGCATATCTTTGTCAAAATGCAATACAGAGTTATAAAACTTGACCTGCATATCTTATTTGTGACACCTCATATATCTTTTAAGTTTCAAGCAAATACCTTTTCTTGTTTCAGAAAAATTCAAGTACGTGTGAAAATTTAAGTACATTTTCAAAGTCATTTTTTTTTACCTTCAAGTGTGACCTTGACCTTTAGCCGGCACATGACAAAGGTGATATTGATTCTGCACATAACCTTGTTGAGGTGAACATTTGAGTAAAGTTTGAAGACAATTTTCAATTAGTATAGTATTTATAGAGTGATCACAACATATTGTCTAATTGTATGTAAATTTAAGACTTACAAAGGGGCATAACTTTGTTAAAATGCAATACAGAGTTATGAAACTTGAAAAGCATATCTAAATTGTGACACTTCATATATATTTTAAGTTTCAAGCAAATACCTTTTCTAGTTTCAGATATATTCAAATAATTACATGTTAAAATTTAAGAATATTTTCTAAGTCAATTTTTGACCTTCAAGTGTGACCTTTACCTTAAGCCGGCAATAGGGTGACATGGGTTCTGCATATAACCTTGTTGAGGTGAATATTTGAGCCAAGATTGAAGCAAAAATTTAATTACAGAGCGGACACGATATATTGTGTAATATTTGATTGTTTGATATTTGACCTCCAATTGTGACCTTGACCTTGAGCTGACACATAGGCAACATGGGTTCTGCACATCCCCTTGTTGAGGTGAACATTTGAGCCAAGTTTGAAGAAAATCCTTAAATTGGTATAGGATCTATAGAGCGGACACGAAAATGGAGACAGATGGAGTGACCGACCGACCCGACAAAGCGAATCCATTATAGCCCCCTCCCACATTTTGTGGTGGGGGTACAATTAGCTTATGACACTGAATCATAATGAAATCTTTGGATTATGCTGCTTATTTTCCACATTAATTTACTTAAAGTTTCATCAAATCGATAAGCAATGATCTTATTTTAATCCAAACGTTTCAAAGTTCATTCAAATGTAAGATAACTGGAAGACAACTAACGCAATGCATCTTTTCATTGTGAAACGCAAAAAGTAAGAAACTCCATAATTGTCAGGTATATTTCTACATTTTTCTCATAATTTGTTCAATTATTATACGTTTATTGTACTATACAAAGCATACTACTCTTAGAAATTTTATTACTTTATAATAAATCCAAAAGAAAGTATGAACTATCAGCTTTAAACATCTAGTGTAACATCCGTCCCCTCCAAAAAAAAATGTAACATCCGACCCCCTGATAAATTCATTTCTGTATTATCTGACAAGAAATATACATAAGAAAGTCCTATAATTTTAACTGTTTAAAAGAAATGTGTTTGCATATTTGATTTAAGTATGGTTTGATGTACCTATCCTTGTTTTTTTTACTTAATGTTTCTAACATGTTTGAAGATTTAATTTTGCGGGGGGAAAATGCTGACAATTTGAAAGCAAATATTTTTATATCTAAGATGAATTTTCTGAAAAAGTTTTGTGACAGACTTTTCAGAATACATACTATATTAATACAAGAGGGCCATGATGGCCCTGAGGTCGCTCACCTGTATATAGGCCCCCCCACCCCCGGGCCAATTTTTACCCAAGGGCTTTTATTTGTTTATTTGAACAGACTTGGTAGACACCTATAAGAAGATGTTTCATGCTAAACATCTAAGTTCTAGCTCATTGTCTTTTTTAAAAGAAGATTTTTAAAGTTTTTACTATACACATATAGTTAAAAACAATGACACCCCTGGGGCAGGGCCAGTTTTGACCCCCGGGCGTTTATTTTAACAAACTTTGTAGATATTTACTTAAAGATGTTTCATGCTTAATATCTAAACTCTAGCTATTTGGGTTTTTCCAAAGAAGATTTTTAAGTTTTTGCTATACACATATAAGGAAAATCAATGACCCCCCCCCCCCCCCCCCGCAGGCGGGGCCAGTTTTGACCCCAGGGCTTTTATTTGAACATACTTGGTAGACACCCATAAGAACATGTTTCATGCTAAATATCTTAGCTCTAGCTCTTTGGGTTCTTTAAAAGAAGATTTTTAAGTTTTTACTATATGCATATAGGGAAAATCTATGACCCCTGGGGCGGGGTCAATTTTGACCCCAGGGCTTTTATTTGAACAAACTTGGTAGACATTCACTAGAAGATATTTCATGCCAAATATCTAAGCTCTAGCTCTTATGGTTCTTTAAAAGAAGATTTTTTAAGTTTTTACTATATGCATATAGGGAAAATCTATGACCCCGGGGGCGGGGCCAATTTTGACCCCAGGGCTTTAATTTGAACAAACTTGGTAGACACTCACTAGAAGATGTATCATGCTTAATATCTTAGCTCTAGCTCTTTGGGTTCTTTAAAAGAAGATTTTTTAAGTTTTTACTATATGCATATAGGGAAAATCAATGACCCCCTGGGGCGGGGCCAATTTTGACCCCAGGGCTTTTATTTGAACAAACTTGGTAGACATTCACTAGAAGATGTTTCATGCCAAATATCTAAGCTCTAGCTGTTATGGTTTTTTAAAAGAAGATATTTAAAGTTTTTTCTTTTGGTTGCCATGGCAACCAGAGTTCTGCATGGAATTAAATTCTTTGAATAATTTTTAAAGGTGACCACCAAAGGAACATTCCTGTGAAGTTTGGATGAAATTGGCTCAGTGGTTTATGAGGAGATGTTTTTTAAAGCAAAAGTTTACCGACGGACGGACGGACGACGGACGAAAAGCGATCACAAAAGCTCACCCTGTCACTTTGTGACAGGTGAGCTAAAAATAAAGAGAAACAATACAATTTTTATTATAAATTTTAAGATATTCAGACTTTTTTAAGTTTTAGTATATATCTTTGTAACATCCGTCCCCTACCGACACTGCATAAGATTTAATATTTTGAAAAAAGTATTTAAAAACTTATCCTTTCATCCCAAAAATATTGTTACAGACATCCTAAGGTTCTTAAAAAGAGCAAATATTTCCTTGTATGTTTAACTTTATTTGTTGACTAAGATGCTAACACAATTGGCCCATTTACTGTGCAGCAGGCAATATGTCAATTAATATGGACTTATTTAAGGTGGTACACAAACTTGGTGAAAATTATAAGTAGAAAAGGGAGCATTATTCTGTCAAAATACTTGATAGAGCTACCTCCTCTTATTTACAGGTTGGGCAGAATGGTGAACAAGTGTGCAAACTTTAGCATAACTGGTTATGCCGACGCAGACCCCATTCTATAGGTACTAGGATAACTCTTCTTCTTCAAATACTCATGCTACGAGTTGCCCAAAAGGTAACAAGTTGGTCACAGGATGAGCTGACCTAGGCTGAGTTGGCATGACATGCTTTATAGTAATGCTAATAATGCTGAACCAGGCCCAGGAGCATCAATGTATATGCCACATATAACTGTTATAAAGTACATGTAAAAAATAAACAACACTTACTTGGGTAAAATACATCTAAAATTAATCCACATTTGTTATCCCAGTAAGAAAATCCTCAGTTTCCATTCACATCACATTGTTATGAACAGCAAAGTATTGATTAAATCTCAGACTCAAAATAAAAAAAATGATGTCTATTTCACCTGTCACTTGTCTCATAATCTATTTATAAATTGTTTCTCCCAAGTACATGTAAGGTTACTCAGTACTTGTTGTTGTTTTAAACTCAAACAGGTACTCTCCAGACTTCCCGGTGCCATCAATGGTGACCACAAAATTGTCTGATTGTTTTATAAATGTTTTAAAGTTTTCAAATTCTGTTTCTGGTTTTATATCACAACCTACCATACCTACTGCCACTGTATGTGGTAGTTTGTTTATAACAGTAATGAGATCATATAACACTGAACAAGACATTGTTATATACAAAAAGTCAACACGTTCAATATTGATCATTTGAGGTGACAGTGTTAATGATCTTTTACCTAGATTGATATCATACAACAAAACATCTTTCACGTGATATAACAATGATAATGTTTGTAACATTGTTTTTATGTCACTGGAAGATTCTAGACGAATACACCTAAATGATTGTAGTTTTCTGGCTGCTGGTAGTTGACTGAGATAAGATGACACAACACCAGGTTTATATAAATTACCTACCTCACATTTCTCTAACAATGATACATCCATATTTACTTGTGACACAGGTATCCGGTGCAATCCTAAACATCTTAGTTGTGAATGTTGAGACAGGTCAAGGTTGAATCCCCTACATGAAGTATTCGTGTGATCACTACAGTATAAACTGTCCAATGTTATTTCTTTCATTGATTTTTTACTAGTGAGGAAATTTAACAATGTCTCCATTACCTCGTGGGTCATAGTGAAACAGCTTATATGTAAACACTCCAGGTGTTGTAATTTTACCAGTCGTCCATTTATCTCTGCAGACAGCAGGCAAGGTTCTCCTACAAATTCATGATTTTCCCATGTATTTGATCTCACAGTTAAACATTTTAAAGGGTTCAATAACAAGCTCATTATTTCCTTTTCTACAATTTCACCATGATAGTATAATTTCTCTATATGGGGAAGGCCAGAAAGTGTAAACAAATTGATTATTTCTTGTAGACTACAAATATCTTCATTTTCTATCATTATTGATTTTATGTTTTCTTTATTGTGTTGACTAAGATGTTGTAATTGTTTGAAGTAGTTTTCTTGTTTACATTTTTCATTAATGAAGAAATCCTGTAAACACAATTTGAGGTCTTTGTTTTCCTGGCTTTCTTTGGCACAAGAAATGTACATGTCTTGTATGTCTTGTAATGGATCAATGTACATGTCTTCATAATCTGTCAAAGTTCTGTATTTGCTTGTTTTTTCATCATTGTTTATCACAGGCATCAAATCACTTGATATCGTAGACATTAATTTAGGGTTCATGTAACTTATAAAGACAAACACTTTTGACATGTCTAGAATATTTTGTAAACAGTTGCACTCTTCAAAAATGATTTTTTGAACTTCACTTGTATTTTGAAAACTAATAAATATTGCTGAAAAGTATTCCTGCACTGTTTTATGTGAAAATGAGATTTTAGAACTTTCATTTATTAATGTTTTTACTTTACTTTCTGATAATATTCCTGATAGAAAGCTTGCTTTCAAATCTTCTTGGTTTTTAAGATATTTTTTTGCAACATTTTCATCAAAAACTAATGTGTGCTCCTTTTTCTTACTGAACAATGTATTAAAAGCTAGTTTCCCAATGGTCTTCAGAAACGTGTAGTAACGACAGAAATGTTGATGTTTTCTGAAACATTCAGGAACATTACTAGGGGATGTTTCACACGATGAATGAAACTTTCCATGTAACTTTTCTGTTCTAGATAGAAGGAGCTGAATAATGCCTGTATATAATTCTACTGCGGAATTTCCTATTGGGATTTTTGCAATCCATAAACATATAAGATAGAGTAACAGAAGAGGGGTAGATTCCATATCGTCAATGTCATGATTACTGATTTCTTCTTCAAATCTACACAGTTCATTTGTCAGTTTATCATCTTCAATGTTGCCTATCAATATTTTCATAGTGTTAAGCTTAAACTGCCTTGTATCATCTGCATTTAGTTCAACTAGCTCTACTGTTTTGTCCATTTGACTTGTATTTAAGTTTGAGACTCCAAGCTTCCATGGCCGGGTCGTTGTCAAGATTACACACTTTTCACGTGCATATCGATGTGGAATACTTTTAGGAAGTCTTGTACATTCGTTGTCAGGATGAAACCATTCATCAAGTCCATCTAGTATAACAAGACATTTTTCATTGCGTAAAATGTCATTTAAAAAAGCTTTTGGTATTTCAGATTTACAACGAAGATTATTTATGATTTGTTGTTCAATCATGTTGTCAATATCACATTCTGTATCTGAGTCTCGCAATAGCACTAGAAATAAAAACTCAAAGCCAGATATCGCCTCCAATTCTTCTTTTTTAAAATGGTTATAATTTCCATCCTTTTTATGAGCTTGACACCATGTTATAGCAAGATATTTTGAAAATGCTGTTTTCCCAAATCCAGCGACCGCTGATAAATATATTTCCCTTGGAACTTTTCTACCCGATGTAAACAGGTCATGTAACGACTTGACTCTAGTTGTTTCTTTCCTACCACCTGGTAGATTCGTCTGTATGTCAATTTTTGGCATAATGTAGAACCCAGCTAGAGGGGTATGGGGATCATTTGTGAGTGGTGAAAGAGGAACTGTACTGTGATTGGTGTTGTACCATGTAATGAGTTCATTCTTTAGTTCTAAAATAGAAATAATTGATATACTAGTAGATTCTAATTAATATTCATTCAGGTGACGAAATAAAAACCAACAAACACTGATATGATTAGAAGTGTGTACATATATATTATAATACATGTACAGACTTCCTGAAATACGTCGGTCCGACGGACATGTCCGATAAATTTTGATCAGGTCCGACGATTTTTTATTCCGGATCGGTCCGACAGTCCGGCTTTTATCGAAGCCGAATGTATACAAAATGGCGTCGCTAAAGGTGCCAAACCTTGGAAAAATTGAAAATCTATGTCAGAGGAGCGCGCAGAACAGCAATAAAAGGATGAAAAGAATAGAACTGAGACAAAATTTAAGGAAAAATGGAAGCAGGACCATGAATCGTTGGTGTATGACAGGGAGGAGATGAAAATGCGCTGTACGGAATGTGCCAATTTTAACGGCGAAAAAATTAAAACCAAAAAGTGTCTTAGAAATACAAACACAAGTTTTTCTTTGATTTTGATCAATTTTATTCGGTCTGACAGATTTCGTTGCGGTCCGACAGATTTTCATGGTTTGTCAGACCGAATGTCTGACAGTTTTTTCAACTTTCAGGAAGTCTGATGTATATAAAACACAATTAGCCTCACTAATAAAGAAAAGAAAAGCGAACAAAAATCGTTCAAAAAGATACAAATTGTATTTGTCTGCCTTTTTTAACTAAAAAAGCAGACGAACACACTTTTTTAATAATTTGTACGAAATATATAGAGAGATCTAACTGAAATTCATACAAAATGTCTCAAGTATATACCTTTTTTACTGTTTCATCTCACTTTATATTTATTTCTATAACAAAAAGTCAACTTTTGGTTGCCTTGAAATGCACTGAATTAACTCTAATGAACATTAAACTATTAATAGTAACCAGGTGTCACGGACTGCCAAAATATATCTATGGAGCGCCATAAATGCCTTAATTATAGCCCGGGCACGGTACTTAACATTTATCGGGAAAATATATATATATAAAAATCATACATGATTTCTAATAAGTGATCCTTTTCCAAAACTGTTTGTGGAATTCTATTTCAAGATATTCAATAAATTGTCTTTTAATTTTAAAACTATTTCTATTATCTGCCATTTCCGCAATCGGAACATCCTCGGCTATAATCAATTATAACCTCGGATTGAAAGTAGTTTTAACACGTTGTATCAGATGTATACAAAAACAGAGAATGTTATCTTCATATTCTCTCTATTTTGACATCCAAAGAAAAATAAAGATTGTCTCGGGATAATTATGATTGAAAATATGTATGACAACCATTTTGAATTTTAAAATGCCCACTGGTGTACAATTTAAACAAATCCGACTAAATGTCAACAGGTTGGCATTTTGTACTTTCGGTTTCTACACTCATAATAATAAATATATAAATAATGTATTGTTTGCATTTTGTTTCTATGAATTCACTTATTTAAGGTGGACTTTTACTTCTAATATTTGAAATAAGTTTGTCAAAAACTCCAAGCATTAAAAAAAACTAATTGTTACATGTTAAGGTTTTTAGCGTTAGTTAACGAAATACCCTATCCGTTCTGTGCACATGTATTCATCCACTTGTGTTGGAGGTCCTTATCCGAAGATTGACAAGTTGCTATTGCCATTTTGGGTGATTGATTTCAGAGGTTACTACAGCATCACGGTCTTCCACAAAATGCAAGTATAAAAGGACAGATGGGTCAAAATCTTCAAATTAAGATGTGGAAAACTCCTAACAGTTAACTTACTATAAAATTCAAGCTATACGAATAGATGATATGCCAGTATATTGGATTATTACATAGTAACAATTAAGGGATATGGTAGTCAAATATGGAGATTTTAATCAAAAAGTTTTTCTCCCCGAATATTCATTATTCACAAAATTGAATTTATTGGCAGATGCTGTGTAGTTTTGTGTGACAGTTTTGAAAATAATAGCATTGTCATATGTAATCTGAATAATTCGACTGCAAGACCGAGCGCCTTTACAAATTGATATTTCACAGATGTTGGTATTTACGAGGGCGGCCATAGTCTATATAATAAAAAAGCCCTTTAGCGCATAATTTGGTGGGCTATGTCATATGTTACTTTTACTAGTAGTTGCAGAACATGTAAATACCTTGATATCATAGAACCCGTGATATCATAGGAACCGCAAGTATATACACATGTTTAAAGTGGTGGCATCTTTTAGATAAATGGTGCCGTGATTATGATAAATAGTAATTACTTTTGCTTTTATAGATGTCTGGTGCTATATGGTTTTGATAGATGGTGATGTGGTTTTCATTATAAAGTGACGTGGTGATGATATATAGTGAAGTAGTTTAGGTTTAGGGTACTGTCGTTTAGATAGATGGTACAGTGGGCTTTGATAAATGGTGATGTTGTTTGGATAGATGTTGCTGTCATTATAATATATGGTGGCTCTTTCCTTTCATATACTGTGCCTTGTTATTTTTGGGGAATAAATGGCGATATTCATTTTGGATATATATAATTATGGTCATTGTCATTTTAAATGAAAAGGTGATGTAAATTTTTGATAGATGGTGATATGGTTCCAAGAAATGGTACTTCTGGGTCTTAAAATCGGTTATGCTATCATTTTTGGTAATTTTGGTATAAAGTGACTTTATTTTTGTCTAGATTGTGCTGTGAGATTTTCATATTATTAGTTTCTGTTATCATGTATATTGGTTTTCCAAATGACCTCACAATTCAACCAAAAAAACAGCATTAGATCTAAAAACACCATAGCACCATAAAGCAGAGAACCACATCACCATAACAAAACCAAATCACAATATATGGAAACTCCATCACCATCTTTCAAAATTGCATCATCATATATTGAAACGACATCACCATCTATAATCTAAAAAATTCTGGAAACAAAGTGATCCCTCGGAAGCATTAATCACAGCAAAATTACATAAGAATTGCAGACTCGGTTTGATTGAGTCTGTACAGTAAGTCGCAGCATCGTCTATAAAATGACAGCAACATACGCTTTTATAACATCACCATCTATCAATATATAAACAAACTTGGTAGACGCTCACTAGAAGATGTTTCATGCCAAATATCTTAGCTCTAGCTCTTTGGGTTTTTTAGAAGAAGATATTTATTTTTTTTCTTTCGGTTGCCATGGCAACCAGAGTTCTGCATGGAATTAAATTCTTTGAAAAAGGTGACCACCAAAGGAACATTCCTGTGAAGTTTGGTTGAAATTGGCTTAGTAGTTTATGAGGAGATGTCATTTTAAAGTAAAAGTTTACGGACAGACGGACGGACGACGGACGGACGCCGGGCGAAAAGCGATCACAAAAGCACACCCTGTCTGACTTTGTGACAGGTGAGCTAAAAAAAACAATCAGATTTCCCGATTTATATTAATTTTCCTAGTGCTAGTGATTTTACATTTAGCGTCACTGTGACCCTAATTTTTGACCCATTGACCTCAAAATTATTTGATGTCATCTACTGATCAGGTGCTATGATCTCTCTAGGTTATAATGACCACGGCTTAATCATTCTAAATTATTCATCAGAATTATTTTACATGAAGTGTCATGGTAACCTTGACCTCAAACATCTATATATGCTATCTACTGTCCATGGGCAATGGCCCTAGCAAATAAAATAAACAAAGATTTATTCCTTCTCAAGTCATCGTATAAAAAGTGTCAGGCCGTCGTACATACAAAAATCTGGAAACAAAGTGATCCCTCGGAAGCATTTATCACAACAAAATTACATAAGAATTGCAGACTCGGTTTGATCGAGTCTGTACATGAAGGAAAATGAATACGTGCAACATCCCTCACGCCCACTAGCACCGGCTTGAGCGGTACTGATTTCTCAACACTAAATAGTGCTGGCATCAATGATCCGGAAGGACCAGAAAAATATAACAACACTATCACAAAGGGCTATAACTCAAAATTAATGTCTGATTTATTGGCCTTGGAAGGTGACTTTCTCATATGATCTTTAAGAAATGTATCAAGTTAAATGTGATCATCTTTAGTATCTTCAAAGATTAATGTCGCATGTAAAACTTTAATAAGTAAAACTTTATTGTTGTGATTAATGCTTCCGGGGATCACTTTGTTTTCAGATTTTTATCTCATGCCCACGACTTAGTATCTTGTGGCCACGACACATAGTATCTTGTGCCCAGGATTTAATTATCTCGTAGCCACGACTTAGTAACTCGTGATCACAAAATAGTATCTCGTGCACAGTAGATTGATGAAAACACACACACACACACACACGTCACATTTGTGCCACCTTATCTGGTTGAATTGTTGCTGCATAAATTCTGGATTGTAAAATTGATGCAAAAAGGAAAGAGCCTTTCATCAATACTTTGAAGCGATATACTGCGAATTCACTTATATTCGTGGGCATGAAATTTCGTGGTTTTATCAAAACGGACATTTTCATGGGTTCTTAAATTCGTGGATTTTCGTTTTCTTTTTAAAAAAAAATTCAGTAACCTAGTGCAAAGTAATCTTAAACTTAATCGCCGAACATTTTTACTTACAACATGTACATATCTTTACTTGTCACACAGCGGTTGTAAATAAATTTAATCCTTGCCTCTGGGCATAACTCTAACATAGCACAGTTACTGCCGATAATTGACTGCAATTAACACATTTCATGTGACATGATATGCACCTCCATTGAACACTGCCCATGTTATTCGCCGATGTTAACATCGCATAATTTATACGACACCTAGCACGTTTTAACCAGCGAATTTTTAAAAGTTTACAACCTGAATTGGTCTGAACATATTTTGACAGTAACTACACGCAACGTCACAGCGACTGTGTAAATTTACATGCATATAAATTATTCTCGGTAAAATAACACGAGTATATGTGGATCTTGTAAAAGTCGGTGGCGTCTTTGATATTTACGGAATAGCATTTGCACAAATACAGATTAAAATTCATATATAAACTGGATCATTTTAAAAACGACAAAAGAAAGTACAATAAATCTGTTTTAGCGATCGTATTTTTTTATAGTTTTGTGTACTTACAACATTAATA